ACGAAAGAACATTAGTACGTATATTCAACTAAACGCTGCATATTTGTGGTTGGAATATAAACCTCATTAAAATTGCTGACTTATCAGGTCACTCTATGAGTTTAATTTCTACATATGTCATGACAGGACAGAGTTCATCAAATTCATCACCATATATGGATATGCTTACTGGCAACGTATGTAAATCTCATGCGAACAAAATCACAGGTTTAATGATATTTCGTTCTGGGAAAATAAAAATGTTCATCCATTAAAATATGGATGTACTAGTGGTTAGAACGCTGGCCTTGTAATCCTGGGGTCCCGGGTTCAATTCGCGGTGGTGCTCAGATTTATAACTTGTGTTGGGCAAGACCGTGGTCTAGGTATCACGGAGTTTTCCTCCGGGGGCTTCCCCGGTTTCTCCGTGGCATCCCAACAATTACTCCATTCACACACAGAAGAAGGCAATGGCAAACCACTTCTGGATCATCTGCCAAGGACGTATATGAACAGGTCCCAGTCCGAGAGAAGGATGGAAGGATCCTGTTCATATGGACCTGTCGTCAGACAGAACACTAATAATAATAATAATACTATCGAAAGAACATTTTCATGGCTTATGAAGTCAACATAACATTCATAAAATTGAAGGACGAGTGTAACTGTACCTAAGCTTTCCTTCTACGTATCATTTCATTTCTAACCGAAGAATTAAATAATTTCGCAGTTTCTCTGTTTACAAAGTTTTACTTTCAGTGACTTCAATTCGTTGCTCTATTTCCTTAGTAAAATTACATGACTAGTTATGCAAAAAAAATCAGAATATTCAACTCTTATTTTGAAATAAAACAAAAATATTTGGATACTTTTACTAGTAAAAGAGTTTGTATCTTATATGCGTCATGTTTGTGTTTGATTAAATAATATATTTTTTTAAAAAAAGCGCTAAAAATATAATGTAAAATCGTATTTACGATTAAGAGCGCTAATATAATATTTTACACAATAAAATGTTTTAATATTATATAATTTTTTACAACACCAATAAACTTCAAACGTTTGTGTATAGACTGTACAAAATAAATATATTTAGTAAAAGAGTCTTTCAGTGGCTCATAAATTTCAAAGTCTCCCTGTCTCCAGAAATAACGACATAAAACGTGTTTTGAAATTCTGTATTAGTTTTGTATTCAGTATCAGCCTCGTCACACACACAGTAGTTCAGTATCATGAAATACATGGATGTTAAAATATTTGTGTATCTTCGCCATCAATCAGAGCTTAAACTTTATCGTAGGCAAATCACAGCTACTTTGTACACATCTGTGCACGACGTACGTGCCAAACCTATTTAAATACGTCATTTTACCTTTCACTTCTATAATTACATATTTATTAGTATTTTATAGACGAAGTACCCAACCAGTATCACTTCAAAATCCTAAAACTATCTCCATATTTTATAAATTTAAATAAAATTTAAAAATCGTCGTAAATAATTCCAGATTTTTATAACTTGATTGAGTGTACGTCTAGTGATTTAATCTTTAAGGCTTTCGTGAGATAAAAATTAAACCAAGGTTGGTACCAGTTTAATTTATTTTATTATGCATCAGTAATTTAGGCAAAGATAGTGGATTAAGAGAAAATCTTAGATAATGTTTAATTAACAGATGGCCAGTTCATTACAATAGATTAACTTCTGTCTGTGCACAGGAAGGATTTCTGGCGAACATATATGAAATCATCGCCGACAATCAGTCACTAGACAGGGCTTACACGTGTTTAATATAATGGGAAAATGTACCTTTCTTATCTAAACATTTAAGGTCATTCTAAAAATAGGATAATTTTTATATTTAATATCGTATTAGCCCGGCTTTTATTTATTTATTTAGTGTTCTGTCTGACGACAGGTCCATATGAACAGGATCCTTCCATCCTTTTCTCGGACTGGGACCTGTTCATATACGTTCTTGGCAGATGATCCAGAAGTGATTTGCCATTGCCTTCTTCTGTGTGTGAAGGGAGTAATTGTTGGGATGCCACGGAAGAAAACTCCGCGTTGCCTAGACCACGGCCTTGCCCAAAACAAGTTATAAATTCGGGCACCGCCGGGAATCGAACAAGAGACCCCAGGATTACAAGGCCAGCGTTCTAACCGCTAGACATATTAAATTATTTTATATTAATATCAAGGGTCCTTGTAGTATCAACTACTGCCTCATGGACATGGATGTATCATGGTTTCCAACAAAAATAGTTGAGGTTGACAGGTGTGCTGATAAAGAACGTAATATAAATGTTAAATTTTTCACACCACAGCCATTAGACATGAATCATATTCGTGAAGCCAGATCCTTCAACATCTTGCTTCTGGAGT